ATAGATACGATGATATTCACCCATTCGTCGTACGTAGCAAATTGAGGTTCCTAGATCTTAGCCAGTTTGAAAAATTAAATATTTATACAGTATTATTATTATTATTTAATGCTATATTAACTACAACAATTACATTACTGTATGTCAAAACTAATATGTAGGGCTATTTCAAATAGATGTCTGCAAACCCGACGTGAACATTGACTATTGTGCTCTCTTTAGGCTAGGCCTAAACCTGAATGTGCTGAACTCGGCGAGAAAGCATGAGCTTGGCTGTATCATATCGATAATAATACTGTATTTATTAACTGGCGTGAAGTTGGTTAGTTTCCATGCATTACACTTCTGTTGTGAACGTGCGTATATTACCTCCATGGTTGGACGAATTGTGATATGGGCCTAGCAATCGTCGCGGTGCACAAGCTGAGCTCACCTGCACCTGAATCCTCCTTATCATTAGCTGGGCCGAGGGGAAGCATAATTAGCATATTTAATATATGCGACGGTAATTAGCCAATCGGAAATCAAAGTTGTTAAATACGTCAGGCACCACGAAATCGTGGTGCCTGCACTCGAAATCCTCACTGTTTTCCCAGTCCCTAATCCCAGAAAAAGTATACTATGGAACGCCATGCAAATATTTTGAAATAAATTCATTTGGATCCAAATATAATTTGTATGAAATTTTTCATTAGTGTGAGTACTATTGGTTTTTATTTTGCTGGATCAACACTAATGAAAAATTTCATACAAGCCATGCAAATAAGTAATATGGAACGCCATTTGTGCCAAAATTTCAACTGATTAAGACAAAGATTAGGGACTGGAACCCAGTCTAGGGCTGTGTATATATATTGCCTTGGTTTGGCTCTGTAATCATTAGTGCTCGTGGGACTACTTTGGGCCCTACCTAAGCTGGTCGAACGTGTTGTTTGGGTTTATATCCTAGCTGCACTGATGAGGCCGAAACGGATCCGTCTGCAGATATTGGGATGTATGTTTATGTATGTGTATGTGTGTATGTGTGTGTGTGTGTGTGTGTGTATGTGTATATGTGTATGTATGTGTGTGTATATACACTCTCTTATACACATCTCACATACACACACACACACACACACACACACACATATATATATATATAT